CCTGGCTAATTTTTGTGTTTTTAGTAGAAACGGGGTTTCACTATGCTGGCCAGGCTGGTCTCAAACTTCTGACCTTAAGATCTGCTTCCACTGCAGTTTGAAACCCCTTCTTGCTTCCACTGCAGTCTACAGCCATGACTTCTGCCAACACACTAGCTGCTGGGGGGCAGATTTGCTTTGGGGGCTCTCACTTGCAACAGTTACTTCCCATAGGCCCTCTGCCCCCATCACTAACCAGGAAACGCTATCGGGGTCCCTCCGACCTGCGTATCTCAACACCCCTGAGGCCCTACCCGGCATCGTGCTCATGTCCACAGGGAACAGCCTGGGGACTTCACTCCTTTCCAGGCCGAGGGCAACATGTGGAAGAGCTTTAGCTAAGTGGCAGGCTCACCATTCTGCACCTTTTGCCCCCTGAGCGAAGTAAGCAAGGCGATGAAGGCACGCTCCTCCCAGCACCTCCTCAGGGGCCACCACAGGCGACGGCTTCCCACAAGAGGTCCCCAAGGCAGAGCCTGTGGCTTACAATGTCCCAGCGCCACCCCCATGGCCACAGCACCCCTGCTGCCACTCCTTCCCCACCACACACCTAGAGCGCACGCACGCACGCGGGGCTCTTCTGGGCGGATGCTTCCTGGGAGACCACCAACCCCTACAGTTCCTCTGTAAAGGAGGAGCTTCCAAATTCTGGGACACTGGGCTCAGCTCCTTCTTCTAGAATGACCAGAGACAGGCTCATTCTCTCCCTATAGCAAGTCCTTCCGGATGAGTCTGCTGAAGCTGGACTCAGTCCTCGCAGAACGTGGCAAGTACTTTCCAGGTCCAGAACCCAGGAGGTCACAGTGGGCTGACATGAAGGGCTGAGCGTACACCAATCAAGGGAGTGTGAGGACGTGCATCACTATCTGCTTTTCTTTCTCTTACTGAATACAAGAATTTAAAAATGAACAGTGCTAACTGAAGAGTAATTTTCAAAAACAGGATCTCAGGGTAAGCTTCATGGCACATCAGAGTTTAATGTGAATCATGATATGAGACAAAAGCCTCCGCCAGGGCGACGGGAAGACCCAGCCCTAAACCAGACTCTTGGAAAGGGCTCTGTGGTCACCCATCGCCGTAAGGCTCAGGAGTGGAGACAGCATGGACCGGGAGCTCGCACAAAGGGCACGTCACAGCCCGACCTGCTCCGTCCTCCTCAGCCCACGACGGGAGCAGAGCCACGTTGGAGCTGTGCTCCACACGGGGCAGACGAGGACACGGCCTACTGACAGTTCCTCAGAAATCCTCAGGGAGGTTTCTCCACACGCGGGGTACCAGGGCTTCTGCAGAGACAGGGGCAGCAGGACGTGCTGCTGACGGTCCCCCGGGACTTACACCGACTCACAGTGAGCCCACGTCTGCCACCAGGATGGCTCCCAGCACCACACTCTCCACTGCGGCACGCCCAGATGGCTCAGCAGGCAGGCTGGGCTTGGGAGCTGACAGCAGATGCCCTGGACTCTGCCCAGCGTCCTCACCCACCACCTTTTAACTGTAACTGACAGAGGACAGCAGGGAGGGCAGAAGGTGCAGTGACGGCTAGGATCCAGTTCTAAGTTTTGCTAGAAAGACCTTCAGGGGCCCTTCCTAGCTACCTAATTAATCTACCTGTGTATAAGAATTTTTTTTTAGCTTATTAAAAATTGCAAGAGGCCAGGCACGGTGGCTCACGCCTGTAATCCCAACACTTTGAGGCCGAGGCGGGTGGATCACGAGGTCAAGAGTTCAAGACCAGTCTGGTCAAATTGGTGAAACCCTATCTCTACTAAAAATACAAAAATTAGCCAGGCATGGTAGCGGGTGCCTGTAATCCCAACTACAACGGGAGGCTGAGGCAGAGAATCGCTTGAACTTGGGAGGGGGACGCTGCAGTGAGCCGAGATTAAGCCGCTGCACTTCAGCTTGGACAACAGGGTAAGACTCCATTTAAAAAAAGAAAAAAAAAACAAGGTAACAAGAGTAGGGCCAAGCACGGTGGCTCACGCCTATAATCTCAGCACTTTGGGAGGCTGAGAAGGGTGGATCACCTGAAGTCAGGAGTTCAAGACCAGCCTGGCCAATATGGTGAAACCCCGTCTCTACTAAAAATACAAAAACTAGCCGGGTGTGGTGGCGGCGCCTGTCATCCCAGCTACCTGAGAGGCTGAGGCAGGAAAATTGCTGGAACCTGGGAGGCGAATGCTGCAGTGAGTCTGCAGTGAGCCAAGATCTCGCCACTGCACTCCAGCTGGGGTGAGAGTGAGACCCTGTTGGGAACGGGTGGGGATGGCAAGAGTGCCAATATGAAGACAATGTTGGGCGAGGGCAGGAATGGCAGCAGTGCCAACATGAAGACAAAAGGTTGTGCACTTGACGCCTCATTCTCTTTCCATTTGGAATACGTACGGCCTCCGCTGTGAGAACTACAAAGCACTCACTGTCACAAAAGGAGATCCAGAAACTTTTCATTAGCATGGGGGTAACCATGAAATGCCTGGTCAAAAACCTGGGCACCGATCGTCACAACCATTATGCAACTGGTGTTGCCTCCATCAGAATCTACTTGAATACTCTTCTCTCTACAGGAGTCTTAGTGGCAGACCAGTCTGCTCTGTGTCCTCCCGAAATGAAGGAACGTTCTCTCCCATTATTTCTTCTAACAGCTTGGGTAGCAAGCTCGGCCCTCTTCTTTATCTGACCCTCTAAGGACCTCACCAGATGTGTGAAGCAGCCCGGTGTGTATCAGACATGCACGCATGCGCGCACACACACACATATGCACGCACACCTACCTGGCAAAGGAAATAACGGGGCAGCCCTGAAGTGTGAAAAGCAATGGGATTTTGTGGGTTCCACCTCCTCACCTAAGCATCCCTGGTTCATGCTATGTCACAACCCTCTGCTGGACCACGTCAATGTGAACCCCACACCATGTCTGTGCGCCTCACCACGCCTAATGCCATGGGTGGCACTGGAACTAACCCGTGGACGATCCGATGTGCACCAGGAATAGAAACCAAGTTCTCGCAAAGACAGGAGGAGCCAGTGTGTGCACTGCACAGGGTGACACGCCTCCCGTGCCCGAGCCACACGTAACACCTTCCAGGAAGGACCACACGGGGGGTTTTTAAAGGGCAACCCGCTGGGATACAGTTCTTTGTCTTTCCTAAGAAGATCATTGTACATCTGGTCATATGTGGTTTTGAAATCATAAACATTGGGCTTGTCGGGAGCTGGTCCTGGAAGCTTCACGTGAGTCCCTGTTCCAAAGGATCGGACGCTGAATCCCCGTTTGCTGAAAGACAAAAGGAGAGAAAGAGTCACAGTCACACTAAGACACAAAACTCCAAAAGCAAGGGATAGGAAATGGGAAAGAAGGAAAACGAGTAATTTCATTGGCTCATAGTAGAGAACATATCTTAAAATTTTTAATCTAGGCTGGGCGTGGTGGCTCGTGACTGTAATCCCAGCACTTTAGGAGGCTGAGGCGGGCGGATCACGAGGTCAGGAGATAAAGACCAGCCAGGCCAACATGGTGAAACGCTGTCTCTACTAAAAATATAAAAATCAGCTAGGTGTGGTGGTGACTGCCTACAACCTCAGCTACTTGGGAGGCTGAGGCAGGAAAATCAATTGAACCCAGGAGGCGGAGGCTGCAGTGAGCTGAGATCGCGCCATTGCATCCAGCCTGGGTGATGGAGCAAGTCTCCATCTCAAAAAAACAAAACGAAACAAAACAAAAACCTGAATCAAATTAAATATTTAAAGTATTTTGGGCCAGGCATGTATCCTAGTACTTTGGGAGGCCGAGGTGGGACAATCGCTTGAGCCCGGGAGTTTGAGACCAGCCTGGGCAACACAGCAAGACCTTGTCTTACAAATAATTTAAAAATCACCCAGGCATGGTAGCATGTGCCTGTGGTACCAACTACTCGGGAGGCTAAGGTGGGAGGACTGCCTGAGCCCGAGCAGGCTGTAGTAAGCCGAGATCACGTCACTGCACTCCAGTCTGGACGACAGAGCAAGACCTTGTCTCAAATAAGTAAATAAAAATTCTGTAGCAAGTTGCACAAAAGCAACCAAACCAGAACTGACCATTACAAAGGCACATCTGAACATCAGAGCTTGTTTAAGGCTTTACTTTAAACTGAAAGGACTAACTGATGTGGACTTGGGGAAGATTTCATCAGAACATGTTGGCCATCGACCAACGTCCTGGCTTTGGAGGATCCAAGTTCACAGGATTCCTAAGGGACTTGTAAAGGTCCAACTGCCCGCTCCACCACAGGAAACTGTCTCTCCCAGTTTCCCGACACCCCCAGGATGCTGCCACCATGGGAACCGACACCCAACACCCAAAGGAGTCACACAGGCTCAGGGGTGCTGCAGGCAGAGAACAGACGCTGCAATGGGTCCGACGGCGCTCGCACCTCGGGCTTCCTAGTCACAGGTGAGGAAACTGACCAAACACTTTTCCTAATCAACTGGAGAAAAGAGCTGAACAGGAAACGTGTCAACTGCCAGCAATGAACTGCAGTTCACACCAGGAGAAAGATCGTCTCCAAACGCTGATGGAGTGCGGGTAAGATCAGAAAATTCTTCCGTCATCTCTGACAACCATACTTAAGTTTGTCACAACAAGTTGCATGAAAAAAGTTAGTTTGGCGCCGGGCATGGTGGTTCACACCTGTAATCCAGGCACTGTGGGCGGCTGAGACAAGTGGATCACCCGAGGTCAGGAGTTTCAGACTAGCCTGGCCAAGAGGCAAAACCCCAACTCCATTTCTACTAAAAAAAAAAAAAAAATTTAGCTGGGCGTGGTGGTGCACGCCTGTAACCCCAGCTACTCGGAAGGCTGAAGCAGGAGAATCGCTTGAACCCAGCAGGCAGAGGTTGCAGAAACTGAAGATCATGCCACTGCACTCCAGCCTGGGCAACAGAGCAAGACTCTGTCTCAAAAACACAACAAAAAAAGTTAGTTTGGTACAGAACACGTGTTCTTTTAAAGTCACAAGTGATACTTATAATTATCTAAAAAATACAGACTTCTCATCCTAGCTTTATTTATAAATCAAAAAAGGTCTGCATCTGAAGGAATCTGCCTGGCGCAGGGCGCACACACACTTCCATGAACACTAAACTCCTCTCACAGGCCTGTCATCCTTGTTCAGAAAGGTGCCGCTGTTTCGCTCCTGAGCAAGAATGACACACAAACGCATGAGGAGTTCCACATTATTTTTAAAAAAAGAAAAGTAAGGCTGGGCATGGTGACTCACGCCTATAATCCCAGCACTTTGGGAGGCCAAGGAGGGGGGATCATGAGGTCAGGAGATCAAGACCATCCTGGCTAACATGGTGAAACTCTGTCTCTACTAAAAATACAAAAAATTAATTGGGCGTGGTGGCAGGCGCCTGTATAGTCCCAGCTACTTGGGAGGCTGAGGGAGGAGAATCGCTTGAAACCGGGAGATGGAGGTTGCAGTGAGCTGAGATCGCGCCACTGCACTCCAGCCTGGGCAACAAGAGCGAGACCCTGTCTCAAAAAAAAAAAAAAAAAAAAAATTTTATTGACTGTTGAATGAGTCACAGTGTCACAAGGGAGGAAAACCTCAGGCAGAGGGGCTGCTGGAGTGTAACCAGCCTCTGTGTGGATAATGGGGCAACACCCAGCAAGTGAAAACCACCTGTGCCTTTCTCAGACACTGGCCTCTAGAAACCCACCCTATGAACACACATGTGCCTCGCAACGTGGCTGCCTCCAGAATGTCCGCTGCTGGCCTTCCACAGCCACAGACGAACAGATAAGCTGAACATCCATCCATGGGGTACGACAGGCCGTGTGGCTCCACACACACCTCCAAAGATAAGTAGAGGAAGCGACAGAGCCCGAGAGCACCCTGCTGCACTGCCACACACGTCACCCACGCACACATTGAGCAGAGTGCGGGTAAGATCAGAAAATTCTTCCGTCATCTCTGACAACCATACTTAAGTTTGTCACAACAAGTTGCATGAAAAAAGTTAGTTTGGCGCC